ACCTGACACCTATGGTATAAATGTCTTCATCTAAATGTTCTTCACCTGACATCCATGGTATAAATGTCTTCATCTAAATATTCTTCACCTGACACCTATGGTATAAATGTCTTCATCTAAATGTTCTTCACCTGACATCCATGGTATAAATGTCTTCCTCTAAATGTTCTTCACTTGACATCCATGGTATAAATGTCTTCATCTAAATGTTCTTCACCTGACATCCATGGTATAAATGTCTTCATCTAAATATTCTTCACCTGACATCCATGGTATAAATGTCTTCATCTAAATGTTCTTCACCTGACATCTATGGTATAAATGTCTTCATCTAAATGTTCTTCACTTGACATCCATGGTATAAATGTCTTCCTCTAAATGTTCTTCACCTGACATCCATGGTATAAATGTCTTCATCTAAATAATATAAATGTCATATTGATGTAAGTAAAAAGGTTAAACACAACGATGTGTATATATTAAACCATGAAACCGCAATCAGATCGGTTTCAGACGTTTTTATAGTTTAATGAAGAACAACCGCACAGATAAAACGGTTTCTTTGTTTCAATCTACTAGGCGAGCTATGACAATGCTACGGAACGTTAGTTCTTGTCTCGAGCACAGGATGAAATAATGTCGGACAGGACGCGCGTGCAAATGAGGACTGAATTGAGCTCGTGATTTTGAGAAACTGGCGGATGAGCCTCATAAGCAGGGTACACTGCTGTATTCGTAGTGCCCTTGGCGATCACTTGTATAGACAGGACGAAAAACTGAAACTAACAGCTCATAGTTAAAAAAATAAAAAAATAAATTGAAGTTTATAAGATTATCTGCAGTGGATTGATAGCATCTTTAACCAGAGTCAATATTAGACCGAGGTCAGCCTTAAGTTTCAAGTTATAACTTCTAACTCTTTACCTCTCTGTGTGAAGAAACCAGGGATATGATCCCGGTGTCCCCATAGCTAGCTACGAACGATAGGGACATACGTTTAAGATACTGAAATCACAGAGGTCAGACTGTTTTGTGTTTTTTAACACCGTGATCAGTTTACGGGTAGAACTGGGGCAGGTTACGGGCGTGTAAGGGGGGGGGGGATAATTGAAATCCTGAAAAAGGTCCCGAGTTGGCCTTGTGGTACAGTTCTGGCGAGCTAAGTTCAGATCCGTATTTTAACACAAGTATCCCCTATCCGTCAGTGGATGCGTCATAAGGGTAACAGTCAACCCATTAGTGTGGTGTAGGACAATGTTGATTGGATGTCTTCCCTCTAGACAATAAATCAAAATTACAGATAACGGTAGATAGCCTTAGTAGCTTTGCCAGAAATACAAATAAGTATTTCTGTTGTTGCTGTTCGAAGTTTAGCTCAAAGCTACACAATGGGCTATCTGTGCTCTGCCCACCACGGCTATCAAAACCCGGTTTCTAGCGTTGTAAGTCCGCAGACGTACTGCTGTGCCACTGGGGGGCACGTATTTCTGATAAATAATAAGTGGGTTGCAGTTTTTTGTCTTACTTTTCTTTTGGGGTGAGTGTGAAATGACAGATACAAAGATTAAAACGATCCCGGATGTCATGTTCTATTGATTATAATATATATATATATATATATTATGGTGTTAAACAACCCAGTACACTGAAGAACGATTAATCTCAATTCAGATAACTACAAGTTTCTTCCTCAAGAACAACCAATAAAGTTATTCCTCTCCAGACTGCTTCGACTTCCTTCGGGTTTTCGTGAAATTGAGTAATTTTTATTTAACAATTAGTTAACTCTGTAAAACATTTGGCGTTTATCCTTGCTATAACACACCACATTAATATTAACGGTAGATATATCGTAATATATTTTTTGAAAGAAGCCAACTGGGTGGCTTATTTCCCAATCACCACTAGGCCTAATTTAGGACTAACAAGATCACTGACCAAAAGTTAGTATCAGAGTTAGCACTTAGGTAGTACCGCACTGACACCATTTTTCGGGTAAATGAGGTCAAGAGAAACAAATAGAGAACGTTTATTCGTAGAGGGCGCTATTATGAAAATAAGATGATAATAAAAAAAAAATTATTTAGGACGTGTGACCACCAGTCTAAGAATAAACGAATTTCACATGAATTATGATTATATTTAAATATTTTGACTTTCTACATTACTATCTCTAAAAATAAACAAACAAACAAAAAATATAAAAATACAATAGAAAATATAAAA